CAAAGTTCGCAAAACTGAGCGAAAATTCTGTACAGGGAGTCATTAATGTAACAAATTCAATATCAATAAATAATATTCAATGTCAATAAATAACAAAACTAATGTTCTGTGAAACAGAACCCAGGAGGCACAAATCTTCGGTTCAGTATGCTTCACGACCAGATCTCCCAAAGCTGGCCTACAGAAGAGTGAAGGGAAAGAGCCCAGGTGTGGTTTTCCTCCCAGGTTATGGCTCCAACATGAATGGACAGAAAGCTGAGGCGCTGGAAGAGTTCTGTAGGTCACTGGGACACTCATACCTCAGGTAAGTTATCCAAACATATCACTCTGAGAGAGAAGCCCGATGCTGAGCATGGCATTAAATCAAGTTTAAAAAATAAAGCTAAACACAGTCAATCCAAAGCGAGCTATAGGACTGCAAGAGGCACAAATGAAATAAATGAATTGGGGGGGAAACCCATCATCCAACTGATATAGAATTAAAAATAGAGAAATTTGATCTGCAAACAAGAATCAAGTGACCAATAAGTACAGCTGCGTTGTCTTTTAATGTGTTTGTTAATGTTGAAGTTAATAGAGGAAAACACCTCTATATGTAGGAGAGTATTAAAAATATGCTGTTGCTATACGGTGTTTTTGTTTGCACACAATATCAATTTCTATATACCTTTTGAATATACTGTAACTGAGACTTTTTTTTTGCTGGGATGCATCTTTTATATTAGCTGAAACCAAAACAAGATCTAGTAAGTAAACTGAAAACCAAAAGTATTATAGCTATATGGAAATATATATAGATTAATTGATAGATTTAATTAATCCCACACTGGGGAAATTCACTTGTTACAGTAGAACAAATGTCAGGAAGAAAAAAAAGTGAGTTAGAGTTATATGATGGAAAGAAAAATGAATAGTTGTCTGTTAAAGCACGGAGGAATGAATTGATGAATAATTTAATTATCCTAAAAATACCGCCACCTTTCATCGTGTGAAGTCTGAAGTTCCTGGTTAATCAAGTGGCTCCAGTTCTGAACAATAAGAGGCTTGTTAGGTCGCATAAACTTGTCTGTAGCCTTGTATGACTTGCCATTGTTTTAGCGTCAGATATTCACCCACTTTGTGCTATTTGTGGTTTTCCAGGTTTGATTACACAGGACATGGAGCCTCAGGAGGTGTGCTATCAGAAGGAACTATTGGTACCTGGAAAAAAGATGTCCTTTTTGTGTTGGATGAGTTGGCAGAGGGGCCACAGGTAAATATTTCCTAGGCTAATTCCATTGCTAGTTAGAGGAGGTAAGTAATCAGTCAAGTTATGTAAATTTTGAACGGCAGGCTTGGTCATTGGTCCTGCATTAAGATTATCAGGTTCCTGAGAATAATCCTCAAAGGTTTTCATTAGACCAGTAATATCAGACAAACAAATATATGAAACCTTGAAAATAAGGACCTAAATGCAATAGAGCTTCAATCATTTCTTCAATTTGTTAAATTGCAACTATGTTGTTTTTAATAACCTACAGGTAAGTAATGCATCATCACGTTTCATTGTATTTGAAGTTGGCAATTACCAGAGTCAGTCTGTCTTCTGGCAACATTTATAGTAGGTTTTACCAGAAATGCAGGTATGCTTGCCAATCTCATTTTGCTGCAAAAATAAATAAATAAAGATAATTTTATCTTGTGGGATAAAACAAATATTGATAAAAGGAGGTGATTATTTTATTCTAGTATTCAGCATATTGCAAAAATATTAAATAGACAAATAATGTCATGTCGTGAGCAAAGTATTGTGGTAGTATAGTAGTAGTCCCACTTCTATACTTATGCACATGCACATTTGTGATGCGCAATGAGTCTCCTGCAGCGTAAACTACATTTTGGGGGAGAGGAGGGAGCCGCAGGAGACCCAGCGTGCTAAGTAAGGATATTGTTGAGCTACATACGTGTTGAAAATTTGACCCACTGACTCCATTGACGATGCACAATCCTGTAAATGTTTTTTTTTTTAAATGAGGATGAGTCTCATTTTAGGCTGGGAAGTTGTGGGGTCTTTCACTGACAGTGCTGGGTTTATGTCTGATTACCAATGATCCTTAAAATAAAGCTTGAGACGGTATGATACAGAAGCTGATTGGACCTGCAGGTGGTCAGAGGGCAACAGAAACAGCAGAAGTGATGGGAGCAGTGCGTGGCTCCGCAAGAGGATACAATTAAGCAGTACAGGACTCCAGTGAAAGCTTTATTTTTAATTTTTTTCACATGACTGTAGACCGATAAAACGCATACAAAATACACACAACAAAATACCTAAAATAAGTTGACATATGCACATGACATACAAAATATTCCCCAATTCAAAACCTAAAGAATATCTTATTGTCCTCTACTGAAAAATTCTGATCTTATAAATGTACAAAAATATTCATAAGGTCAGTTGCTGAGCACGGCATTTCTGCTGCTGCATTGAAAACCCTTCCCTAGAGTCTGTGTGCTGGAGGCTTCAAATCTCTACATTTACGTGTAAGCTGCATACTCAGCCATAGCTGGCAGTAGCCACAGCTACTTGTAATGTCCTGAAATTCTGCTGTTGTTGAAGGTGGATGCGGAGAAAATCTCCCCTTTTACCAGATGAATCTGAAAATAGCCTTCTAGTGTCAAACTCAGCACTTAACGTTATTCTGCACAGTGAATCCAAAGCTAACAAGTAAAGGCAAAACAGGGCTGGGAGCAGGTTTAGTGACACCTCAATGGGTGCATTTAAAATTCTCATTTGCAGTAACTAAACTGGGTTCATGAGCGAATCAATAACAGAGATGTAAAACCTTCCTAAATTCTACCTCCAGTGTTGCTTTTCCCCCTCATTTCACCAGAAGATGGCACTGTTGCCACATTTATACCACAGCTTTTTTTTTTTTCAACCGTTCTACTGCATGAATGTGTGGTTTCTTAAAAATGTTTGAAGTGAGGTATCCAAGTTTGTTTTGTTTTTTTTTGTTTGTTTTGGGGGTTTTGTTTTTTTTTTACCAACTATCAGTTGAGCTATATTTAATTTGTGGTGTTTTTGCCATCTTGTAGATACTGGTTGGTTCCAGTATAGGTGGTTGGCTTATGCTGCTGGCAGCCATTGCCAGACCAGAGAAGACAGCTGCACTGGTGGGCATCTCCACTGCCGCTGATCATGTTGTCACAGCGTTCAACTCTCTTCCGCTGGAGGTGAGAATATAAAATAGAATAACATGTGTAATTATTTTTTGTTTTAAATATTTTCTCATCTAAGTGTGATATTTCTGTGTTCAAATGCAGACACGCAAGGAGTTTGAGGCCAAGGGGGAGTGGACTATACCCACCAAACACATGGAGGAGGGTGTTTACAAGTTTAACATGGACTTTTTGCGTGAGGCAGAAAATCACTGTGTTCTCCAGAGTCCCATCCCCATTACCTGCCCCGTGCGGCTCATTCATGGGCTCAAAGACGAGGATGTCCCCTGGCACATCTCCATGCAGGTTGCAGAGCGTGTCCTCAGCTCCGACGTGGACGTCATCCTCCGACGACATGGCCAGCACCGCATGTCTGACAAGGACGACATCAAGCTTATGGTCTACACCATTGACGATCTCATCGATAAGCTGACCACTATGGTCTGAGTAAGGAATAGGAAAGTGAGCCAGAGATGTTCCTAAGATTAAAAGATAATGACTTTGTTAACTGGGAAGTCAACCCTCAAGGATATTACCAAACAACGGCATGTTGCACCGCCAAATATGACCTTTTATCCATCTATGTTTTTCATCCCGTACTTCATCATGTCAACATGTTGGAAAATTGAAAACTATATTGTAAGGGAGCCCTCCTGCTAGCTGTTCCCTTGTATCTTCAGGTTGCATTTGTATGTGCTCCAGGTTATTGTATCAAGTGTTACGTTTGGTAAGCCGTTCTTAGGTCTGCCATTGCTGCTGTCTCTGCCGTTGTTCTTACTGTTTGGCTGTCTCTTCCCCTCCTTCCCTCCTCCATCTTTACTTAGAAACACAGTTTTCCTGTGCCTTTTTAATCACTTTTCACCCGTTTTGGCTAATAAAACCTTTGCACACTAGAGTGCAGGTCTCAAGTCTGTGAAAGTGCACACACAGATAACACAAGCAACATTATGTGGCGACAAAGAGCAACTGAAAGCTGCATTCAGGTGCATTCAGAATAAATTGCACTGGGAGATATTAGTTGGAAAATATAGTTTATTCAGAGTCGGAGAGGATTTTTATATATTTGTCTAACTGGGGAAAATACAAAAAGTCACACCCGAACGTATATCAGCACCATTACTAAGTAGGGTTAAGAATATAGTGATACTTGTACAATGTAAATTGTCAGTGCGAGCAGAAACCAAGAGTTTTTGGTTTCTTTGTATTTGCACAACATTTCTGTTACATAACTCCGGCCTGCTGAAAGGAGCCACTGAGCTGTTGATTATTAACATGTAACTGGCCACTGGGTGCTCTATGCTCAATGGGGTGAAACCAACCACTTGGGAGCTCTCAGGTCCACATAACTGCAGCAGTGACCTTTAACTTATGGCTGAGCTGGGTATACAGTCATCTGGCATGCTTATACTAAACTCAGATGTCAGCTTGTGACTGTATTAATAAATTACATTTACTGTGTTGCTCCTGCTTGGACAGAAGTGTCCCATATTTTAGTTATGTTACCGTGTAGCTGGATCAAGTAAAAAAGAACACTGTTCAAGTTGAACCATGGTGCTCATCCAAGATAAAGCTCAAATTCAATTAGCTATAATGAATGGGTCCCAGTGCTGAAATCAAACAGTCTCTGCACTGTGCAGAAACCCAGGAGGTAGACCAGCACTTTAAAGAACACAACATAGACAACTGTTGTTGAGCAAGTCAGTGTAGCTGCCAACTGATCAGCTATGATGAAATAAAAGAGGATTATCTTGTTTGCTGTGATCTCCATCTACTATTGCCTTAAAGTCGCAGGCGGTAGTTCAAAGATTTGATTTGACACCATCATGTGCCTCTGCTTTGACGAGGATCCGTTCAATGCCGAATGAGCTGAGCGTGCACTACAGTGACCACTATCCTGGAGCGCAGTCACGTCGCAGTCTGTGCTGAGAGTGACTCTGGGGACACCTCCCGGGGGAGCTGCCATATAAAGCCAGTGGCTCGCTCCTCCCGGACAAAGTGAGGTCCAGCCTCGTGCCATCAGCACGGATGCTTCAGCACTTCAGCATCCTCAGCCTCAGCTCAGCTTTAGCTCAGCGGAATTAACGCATCGGATACGGGACGAATCTGACCTTTCTCCCTGCTGTCCTCAGTAGTAAGTGCATCATTGCTTTTCACCCCCTCGATAAAAACGCTGTGAGTGCATGACTTTTGCAGCATATAATGCATATATGCAAACAATGCGGCGTCACGGCTGCCATGTGAGCTTTGGACGGCTCCCTTTCTGTTTTAACAAGCTGCAGAATGCGTAGCAATGTGGCATGGTGTTATCAGGTAACGGGACTTTATGTTTCATGCATTACATTTAAGTTTACTGCGCACTTTGTGAACGCTGCAGTGAACGGCAGGTGATGTATTCCCAAAACGCTTATGCGTAAAAGGGGACTGACGTAATTAAATTAAACTCTATTGCAGCTAAAAATAGCGCAACGTGAACTTCTGTATATTGTTGGAAGCTCCCTTTTAAAAATGAAAAAAAAAGGATATAAACTTTTCGTGAAAATACATTTGATTATTTAATTTGCGTCATGTTGCCTACGCGGAGGTTATACTTGAACGGACATCAAGTACAGCGCATCTTTGCGCTCGGTGTGCCGGAAACGGGATTCATCGTTGCCATAGCAATAAGAGGGCTTGTCCGTGTTCTGGGCGGCAGTGAGAGGACCACACCCATTCTGTGCTAGAGGCTCCAAAGATGTCTCTGGGTGGACCGATGGATGGGAAGCGAGACGTGTGCTGATGTGGCTTTTATCTAAACATTAACATTTTGTTTTATTTAAAAGAATATTGTAACCAATATGGAAAATTGATTTAGATCAGACAAAATGGTAACATAAAATATAACATGAGAAGATTGCACTGGTGCAATGATTGATGATGAAATCGTTTGTTCTCTTCAGGCAAATTGCACACTGCATAGAAAATATATACTAGATTCCTGGGAGACCCACAATGGCAAACAGAGGGCCCAGTTACGGACTGAGTCGAGAGGTGCAGGAGAAGATTGAGCAGAAGTATGATCCTGACCTGGAGCAAAGGTTGGTCGATTGGATAATTGCACAGTGCGGAGGAAACCTGGAGAAACCACAGCCGGGAAAGCAGAACTTCCAGAAATGGCTGATGGATGGAACAGTGAGTGTCTGCAGCATAGTTTTCTGCTTGAAATAGAAGCTAGCCTTAAATAATTTAGGATAGCTCTGTGAGATTTAAAGAGCTCAAGGTTGGCAAAAGTCTAAAAAAAAAGTTTTTTAAATTTTTTATATACTAAAAATATAAAATATAAATATATTAATATTCTCTTTTTATTAGAATTTCTTTATGTACTATTGGCTAAGTTGCAATTAGGTTGTTAAAAGAATACTTGTGTTTTGTGTTATTGATAAGTCACTGATAGCAAACGGCAGTTTGAAAATTGCTAACTACTATGGCTATACTGATCTCTGTAAGCCTCTGATTTAAAAACTCCTCTATCTTCACAGTGAAGATGCTTACCAGTGCACCCTTCACTTTGCTGTCTTTTGCCATGCTCTTTAGCTGACTAATGCTAAAAAAAAAATACTTAGAGAAAACAATCATATGACGCAGATACATCAATTTATGACCTAATAATTAACTCTAGAGATAAGAGTGTAATGCAATCAGAGGCCATTGCATGTTCACAGCAAAGTGACTCAGACTTTTTGTGAATTAGAAGACACTCTTCCTCTCCAGAGACCACACTTCTTCTCGAAATTAAGCTGTTACTAAAGTACAAATTGGAAAGGGAAGATAAGACTACAACCCAGAATAAAAATGTCCATATTAGATTAGGCGTGTCAAATGACAATGTCTTTGGGTGAGCTATTCCTTTAAGAACCATGAGTCATTAGTATGGTATGGTCAGTATGTCGGTTGATGACAGTCAATGCAGATTCCTGACCTCTTTTGTCCCAGATTCTCTGTAGACTCATCAACAGCCTTTATCCGAGGGGGAAGGAACCCATCAAAAAGATCCCAGAGTCTCAGATGGCCTTTAAACAAATGGAGAAGATCTCCCAGTTCCTGCAAGCCGCAGAAGCTTATGGAGTCACAACCACTGACGTCTTTCAAACTGTAGATCTCTGGGAGGGTAAACTCTATCTTCTGATGCAGTCATGTTTACTCTATTTAATAGTCACCAGATGATTTACAAAATGTTTACAATCTGGCTACAGGAAAAGACATGGCAGCAGTCCAAAGGACCCTAATGGCTCTGGGGAGTTTGGCTGTCACCAAAGATGACGGTCAATACAGAGGCGATAGAGACTGGTTCCACAGGTGGATACACAGCGAAGCAAAACAAAAAGAACTCAATATCTTCACAACTGCACAGCTAATCCTGTAACCATATTGCTGTTTCTATTCAGGAAAGCCCAGGGGTACCGAAGAGAATTCACCGACGAGCAGCTACGCCAAGGACAGAGTTTAATTGGCCTCCAAATGGGCAGCAACCGTGGGGCTTCCCAGTCTGGTATGACAGGCTATGGCATGCACCGTCAGATCATGTAGACCCATTACTACCCTTGCTGTTCTGCTTCCAGACCTTACTCTCTCCTAACACCACAAATATTGTAGCCCCAAAAACCTTCCTAAGCTTCGTAGCACCTGCCACGTTAACCTCAGTTTCCCTGAAAGTGCTGCTTTTTCCAGATAGTGTTTTATTCACACTTTGAAAAAAATGATGTCAGATGCTGTAGCTCTCCTTCTTTGGACTCTCCTTCCCTTCCTCTCTCCCAGGATGTCACGTGCTGTTTCCTAACTATCACTCTTAACTCCATTTGGTTACTTTTCAGGTCCAGATGTTTACTTTACATGGAACTCAGTGTTTCAGCATCGGTTTAGTCTTGCAAAGTGTTTAAATAAAATCTCTATACAATGCAAGTCATCAGAGTTGTACATATATTTACGGAAGTACTGTAAGCCACTGTTAGAGCATGCCGTATGCTATGCATTTTTAATTATCGACACATTACATTTCTTTGCTTGTTTTAGGATGGCTACTGTTACCCTGTAATTATTTAGCCTTAAACCTAATGGAACTTAATGACTGACGATGTCTCTGCTATCTTGTCTGAAGACTTGTTGCAGTATCCTCTGTAACCAAATCAACCTCACGTGGTGCCTGGTTATGGGACTACAAAGACTGGGTCCTGATATACTGGCCTCAAATTATAAATGAGAGTCATTCATTCTGAGCCATGCCCTTGTTATTTGTTTGTTAGATTACATATTGTACTGTGTCTCTTTTGTGCGCAACAAGCAAGTAAATGTGCAGTAGCCAACATGTACAACAGTGGACTTTTCATCTCTGATGCCAGTTGATTACACTGCTTGAATGTGCCCTTTTATGTGTATTATATTTTTAAAATATATTTATATCTGGAAGCCTGTAAGAAGAATTATTTAAAAAAAATAAAATAAAATAAAATAAAGTACACTATGATAAGAGGTATTTGTGTCAGTTTTTACAAAGCAAAAGTTGAGCAACTGCTGTGTACTCAGGGTGTTGGGTGAATTTTTCTTTTCCCCGTTATCTTGGTTTTATGTTCCAGCTCCTCCCTCATGCCCATCCCTCTCTTCTCTGCTCACTGTACACAATCTAATAAAGCATATGCTGTGCAGCATAATGATTAGGCTGCTTGTTTCTGATTCAAGCCTGTGTGCCAGCAAACCTTTGCCTTGCTGAGTAGACTTCAGTCAGATATTAAATCCCTCCCTGCTCCTGTAACGCCCTTTAATAGATGATCTTACCACTGTAAGAACAAAGACTAGAACTACTTCAAAGTGTGTGTAACCTTCATATCCTTTTATTCTGTCCATTTTGATCCATTTTGATACTTAACAAAATGCAATTATAGTGACGCCTTTTTGAAGTGTCCTGGTATGTAATGTTTAGACTACAAAAGGTCACGTTTATTTCAGTGATCCAGTTTATGGGGTCATTTGCTTGCATCTGTTTGGCTGCTAAATGGCACATATGCGAAATACATGCTTTAACTGACATTTTAGTTTGCTATTAACAGCCAGTCTACTGTCCATTCATAGTACCATTTATTTAATTGCTTAATAAAAACTTGGTATCTTCTGGTGTGGCAGCATATATTCTCAATATGTAATTATTTGGTTAAGGTTAATATCTTGTTTGCTTCACTATATAGGCACTTCATGTCAACTATGTGGCCTTCTGCATGTGTGGCCCTCAAGGGCTCTTTGAGTGTAAGCTTATTATTAGCCTTGGCTAGACTGGAGAAGAGGTGATGTGTGACCAGTGTGGCAGGCTCAATGAGTAAACCAAAAACAACAAAGAGACCAATGGCTTTGAGAGGTCTAAGGTCAATCTCGTCTGAAACTGTCTCTCAGCTTGTGTTTTCTGTAGCTGATATCTTTTCTTCTTTCATTGTGCATGCCAGCTTTTAAGTTAAACGTGCTGCAACAAGGCTAGCTATGCATTAGATTGAGACTTCAGGCTTATTTGTTGTGGGAAATTGATTTCATTAGACAGGTAAAACTGGTAAAATGTTGCAGACAAGGTTTAGGATCGCTTTACTGCTCCTCGTCTTGGCATTCAGATGTGTTGCACAGCAAGAAACCCAAAGTAAAGGCTGTGTCTGTGGATATCCTGGAATACCAGGTGATCCCGGGAACAATGGCATGCCTGGCAGAGATGGCCGCGACGGACTCCGAGGTGACAAAGGTGATCGAGGTAAGTTTACAAGAGAAACTTTATTTATTTATTTATTTTTGCATGTTTTAGGTGCCACCTTCACAGTTTATAATAACGTTATAATTCATCAATCATTGTTGGAAAGGTGAACTTGGACCTACTGGGCTAGCAGGCAATCATGGGCACAAGGGAGACAAAGGGGAACCTGGTATGTGTCTTTACGATACACTATGTGCACCTATATGTGTATTTATCTGCAAATGGAGTCACAACCACTGTCATTTATTAATGCAATTTATCAAAATGTTTGCACTGTATGTAACTTGCAATATGTTACTGCACTGTAAACACCATACCTACAGTTCAAAGAAGGTTTATTGTGTGCTTATTATTTACAGGTGCAACTGGTCCAGCAGGGCTCAAGGGGAAAAGAGGAGATAATGGCGATAGGGGCCTTCCTGGGAAAATGGGACCACAGGGAGTGCAAGGGCCTGTTGGCCTCAAAGGAAATAAAGGAGAGCTTGGGCTCCCTGGGCCCCCAGGACCTGAAGGACATTTAGGGCCACCCGGACCACAGGGTGAAAAAGGGGAAACTGGCCTCCAAGGTGACAGAGGCATTCCAGGGCCATTGGGACCACCTGGCAGGCCAGGTCCCAAAGGGGACATGGGTTTTCCAGGTAACAAAGGAAACATTGGTTATCGTGGGGATAGAGGAGCTCGAGGTGAAAAGGGCGATAGGGGTGAAAAGGGAGACGAAATTGTTGTTTCCAAAAGTGCTTTCTCCGTAGGACTCAGTGCTCAAACTAAACTCCCAGCAGCTAATGCACCGATCCGGTTTGACAAGATTATTTACAATGAGCAGAATCATTACGATCCACAAACAGGGAGATTCACTTGCTCCGCGGCAGGTGCTTACTTCTTCACATACCACATCACTGTATTTTCCCGAAATGTGAAAGTGGCCCTCGTGAAGAACGGTGCAAAAATCATCCACACCACTGACAACTACCAGGGCAGCGAGGACCAGGCAGCAGGGGGAGCTGTGCTGCATCTGGGGATCGGGGACAAGGTGTGGTTGCAGGTGGTTGGAGGAGAGCCATTTAATGGGCTCTTTGCTGATGAGGATGACGACACTACATTCTCTGGGTTTTTGATCTTTGAGGCTTAATTAAGGGATCATTTATAATTACTATGACTAGAAACAGTAAAATGCAGAAGAACAGTACAAGTCAGTAGGATTCAACATGTCAACAAATTCTAATTAAATGAAATTCAAGTTTATGTATGTAGCACAAACTCACAACAACAGTTGCTTCAAGGTGCTTTATTGTGTAACAACAACAGAGAGAAAACCCAACAATCATACAGCCTCTATGAACAAGCACTTGGCGACAGTGGGAAGGAAAAACTCAATTTTAACAGGAAGAAACATACATTTAAGTCTAAAATGCCTGTTGCAATGGTATAATGTAACTAATTTATTCAAGTACTGTATAAATGTGAATTGTCACTTCAGTATTTTAATGCTGTTGTGTGACTCCTTCTCCACCAAGCTAACGACACACTTTTCTATATAAGGCATTTACACTGCTCATTAAAATTTAACATGTAAAGCAAGTGAGGGTGTTGTTGAGATTGAACTGGTTGTTGTAGATTAAACTACACAAGAAAGCTGGTTCAAAATTCTTCTTAAACATTAACACGGATGACAGTCACCCAGGATTATTGTGCTCTATAACAGATATAGCAATCAAAAGAGGAATTTGTTTTTACATTCCTTGCTTCCTTAAAAGCTTTTATAGGAAACTTTGACACGTTTTTGAGTGCTTTTACACCATCTACTGCTACTTTTATTAAACATCATGATTTTCCAAGCACTTCTGAAATTCTGTGTGGGTTCTTTTTATTCTTTTTTGTTTTTAGGACATGAAATTCTGCTGACATGTGAGCATTGATCACATGAAAACAAACAGTGATATTAAACACTGTACAAAGGTTGACTGAGCTCTGTGTTATTTCTGTAACCTGTTTACTCTCTCAGAACAAAGGGGAGCGACAATCACTCAGTCCCTTCTTTTTTCTTCTTCTGGTATTTTGGGATGGGCTCGGTACAGAAATATCTGTGACAATAATTGCTTGGCATGACACGAGGAAGACAGTTCAACACCAACTGGAAGGCCGAGTCTTTTTTAGTCGTCGGAGAGACGCTGGAACTAGGTGAAGCATTTTCTTCTGTGTTCTAACTTCATTGAAGAGCCTTGGAATGGGCGTGGTTTGCGGTGGTGACGACTTACTGAATTGCGATTGGCTCCAAACCAAAATGGTCGCCCTGTGGTCAACCACTAACCTCGAGCTTAACCTCGCGATGGCCCCGCCCCTTGTAACAGCACAGCAACAAGTGCATTAGTGATGCTCGCCAGCACGATCCTCCAAGAGAGTCCACTTTTAACTTGGAGTCACCAGCGACATTAGGAGTGTCCCATGAGTTAGGTCGGGAGAAATTTCATGATTCAGTGTTTATCATCGCAGTCGCTTGCACACCAACGAGTTTTGCCGGTTGGTGAAAGCGAAATAAGAAACCACAGAGCTTGCGCAATTCACAAGTTTTATCAGTGGAGCCGTGCTTGAGCTAGCTTAAGGTGCTAGCTCAAGGAGTCAGCCAGCCATTTGTCTCAGTATGTTGCGGGGGGTGACTAGTTAACGGAGGTAGCTGCCATACTATTTTTTTTCTCTCAATTATTTGTGAGCGATATGTTTTTGCGAGGGGAGCGAGAGAGCGACACAGCGAGCGCCTGGAGGTCCGAGAGACTGCTCCGACACCATGGATAAATAACTACAACAGCTGCTCCGTTGATGTGCGTGAGAGAGAAAAGGTCAGGAGGACAACATCAGCGACTATGAGCAGGGTGAGCAGAAGTTTTGGTACTCTTCATTTTAATAATTGATTTTAGAAGTTTGGTTTTGGGTTACAGCTGCAGTGATTTTTCTTTTTTCGTTTACCTTCTCTGTTGTGCTACCAGTTGAAATGGGACCGGGGTGCGGGGGATATTGTGGTGCATTACAGCCGTGGTTGTTATAGTGATGTGGGAGATGCCAGGCTGTGCAGGGAGTTGGTGAAGGAGGAGGAAGAGGAGGGGGGAGTTGGAGGGCCAGCAACTACAAAGAGCCGAAGAAAGTTAATTAATGCAGAAATAAATAAGCAGTTAGGCCCCTAGTTCTTTATGAGCTTAGAAAAAGTGCTCGATGTAATCCCCTTTCGTGACTCCCTGTTTTCCAGATTCTGCTGCGGATCTAACTGAGCTACACTGAGCCGCAGGAGAGTTTACTCCAATTTAATGAACTTGGGTCCCACACAGACACTTGTAGAGGTGAAATCAGGCGCAGGCCAGAGTCCTCTGATTTATTGTGGGCCTGAACAGTAATTTTACAGCAGAGCCAAATGACTACAATATAATTTTACTGTAGTCCGCTTTCTCTTCCAGATCTCATGACACATAAAATACAACGCCTACAACTCATCTTTCTGTAGTTTAAAAAAGCTTATTACATTTTTACATTTCTGTTTTCATTTAATGGTCCAGCCTTGTGGTTTGCGGTGCTGTCAGGTTACACTGCTGGCCCTTGAAACCAGGCTCAGTGGTGTTTTGTCTTCACTGAGCCTTTTACACTGTGTGGTATTAGATTTCTGGCAGTCTGTGTCTATGACAGTCCTCACTTGATCAGGTGAGTAAGTGGCTGCCTGTGTGAGAGTGGTGACACTCCCTGCTTTGGCGTCCACCTGTACT